AACAAAGGTCCTCACCGTGTTATGATATGACATGCAAAATAATAATGAATCACTCACTGATGAGAACATCAATGGGCCAGTCACACGTGCTAAGGCAATGACGTTGAAGGAGAAGCTTGCGACATATTTGGAGAGCTACTTTGGAGCCATGGAGGTGGAGCTATTTCGAGGGAAGCCATATATGATGATTCGAGTGGAGGAAGAAGGAGGAAGTGCTGAAGAGAAGGCAGATTATAAGAAGCAGCCTTAATGGGTTTGCTTAACGGGTCCAGGCTTAACGGCTTGGGCTTAACGGGTTTGTTGGGCTGTTTCCGAGTTTCCATGTTTTAAAGTCGGTTTATGATTGTTTTTCCATGTTGGAGTCGGATTTGGGTTGTACTTTGCCTATTTAAAGGGCAGAACAAGTTGGTTTGCCCTTAAACGATTATTATTGAATTTCAGAGGCTATTGCCAAGTTCCCTACCGGAATTTGCCCTAATTACTCTGTCGAGAAACTTCAGAGTGCTAGAGCGACTCTTATCAGCTAGGTATTCACCCTAGTTGTGGCGAGCTACCCATATCGATTGCCCTTTATTCCGAGTTGAATATGTCCGATCGATTCATATATCGATTGCCCATATTCACGGGTGAGTACTGTCCGATCGATTTCCATCCTATCCGGTTCTGTTTGGTTCGAGAAGCGTGACCCTGCGCTACTTTGATTATATCAAGTGGTATCAGAGCTAAGGTTCAAATCAGTGGCGTGTTCTTGAAGTTTTTTAAAGATCTTGTGCGTTCTTGTTCGTGTTCTTGGTGGTTTTGTGCGAGTTCTTGAAGGTCTTGGCGTGTTCTTGAGCCGCAAGACAGGAGGTTGTTTGTTCTTGGGAGTTCTTGGTGTTTCTTGAGAGGCAAGAAGCAGGTTGTGCTAGTTCTTGTTAAGTTCTTGTGTTCTTGGAGTTTTCTTGCATCACAAACATGGAAGCATCACTCGAAGCGATCAGAAATCAATTGGAGAACATTGCTCGTGCTCAAGAAGAGCAAACAGCAAGGCTTGTCGAGCAATCCACGAGGATGGAGGCTGTCGAGACAAGGCTCCAGCAGCCGGTTGTGGTTGATGCAAACTCTAACCCTAGACCTCGACAAGAAGTAAGGGGAAGGGAAAACCGAGCTCCTCCACCCTTGGTTCACGAAGTACAGCGTCATATGTGCCAGCATAGACGCCTTGGAATGCCTCGAGCTGAAAGGAGAGGGAGGCAGCAACATCATGAAGAGGAGTTTAATGACGAGGAAGAAGAGGGCTTTGAGGAGGAGGATGATTTGTGAAACCTCAAGGTCATGATTCCACCTTTTCGCGGTGCCACAAACCCTGATGCTTATTTGGATTAGGAGCGAAAGATGGAACTTGTGTTTGATTGTCATAACTACTCCGAGAAGAAGAAAGTGACATTGGTTTTCCAAGAGTTCTCAGATTATGCACTTGTTTGGTGGGATCAGTTGGGAACGATACGAAGGAGAAACAGACATCGTCCTATTGAGACGTGGGATGAGATGAAAGGAATTATGAGGGATCGGTTTGTACCGATTTGCCATTTGCGAGATAAGTATCAAAACCTCCAGCTTCTTCGGCAAGGAACTAAAAGCGTTGAAGATTATCACAAGGAGTTGGAAGTGTTGATGATACATGCTGATGTGAGAGAGGACCGCGAGGCTACCATAGCTCATTTTCTTTATGGTCTCAATCGGGAGATCAAGAATGTGGTGGAGATACAACCATTCATTGAACTTGAAGATTTGGTGGATATGGAAAGTAAAGTGGATTGGCAGCTTTGAAATAGGAGGTTTCAACCTTCCACAAATTCCGCACGTTCGAGCCAAGGAGTTGCAACCAACCTTAAGCCGCAACTGCCCCATGAAAGAAGCTCCTAGACCCGCAGCAAGGGCTGATGGTGCAAATCCAGTTATGAAGTAAGGTGGATCATCGGGGGAAATTCGTTGTTTCAAATTCCATGGAAGAGGACACATTGCGAGCTAGTGTGCCAATAAGAAGACCCTGATCTTGCTTGATAATGGCGAGTATGTATCCGAGGAAGAGGGAGAGACCACCGATTCTGATTCCGATGAGTCTATGGAAATGGAACCACCTCTAGGCAGTTTGTTTGTAGCACAGAGAGTATTGACTGAGCAGCCTAAGGAGAAGAGTGAACAGCGAGAAAATATCTTCCATACTAGATGTGTAATTGATGGGAAGTTGTTGTCTCTAGTGATCGATGGAGGAAGTTGCACAAACGTTGTGAGTGCGTGTGCGGTGAAGAGGCTAGGGCTGCCTGCGTTGAAGCATCCAAATCCATACACGCTGCAATGGCTTAACGATCACGGCTCCATCAAAGTCACAAAGCAGGCACTAATGAAGTTCGAGATTGAAGATTACAAAGATGAGATTTTGTGTGATATAGTGCCTATGCAAGCCGCGCATGTGCTTTTTGGCAGGCCATGGCAGTTTGATCAACAAGTACAGCATGATGGAGTGACAAATAAGTACAAGTTACAACATGGAGGACAGAAGTTTGTGTTGAAGCCTCTGTCTCCAAGTGAAGTATATCGAGATCAACTCCAAATGCAGCAACGTTGAGAGCAAGAAAAGGAAAGTAATACTTCGGCCAAGAAAGGAGAAGAAGGAGATGGTGGATTCAAAGGCATTGATGCTAGCAAGCTGCCTGTGCACGAGAACCTTTGATTGTGCTCATGTACAAGGACGTGCTACTCAACCAAGAGCTAGTCCAAGAAGTTCCAGCCGAAGCAAGGGTGGTGTTGGACGAGTTCGAGGATGTGTTTCCAGAGGAAGCACTCAAGGGGCTGCCTCCTATTCGAGGAATCGAACATCAGATTGATTTTGTTCGAGGAGCTACAATTCCAAACAAGGCAGCATATCGAACAAATCCGGAGGAGCCCAAAGAGCTGCAAAGTCAGATTGACGAGCTCATGGAGAAGGGGCTTGTTCAAGAAAGCATGAGCCCGTGTGCAGTTCCGGTGATTCTCGTGTCAAAGAAGGATCACACCTGGCGGATGTGTGTAGATTGCCAAGCCATCAATCAAATTACAGTTAAGTATCGTCATCCAATTCCACGATTAGATGATATGCTTGATGAATTACATGGCTCTACGGTGTTTTCCAAGATTGATTTGAGATCAGGTTACCACCAAATTCGTATAAAGGAGAGAGACGAGTGGAAGACTGCATTTAAGACCAAGCATGGTCTATACGAATGGATGGTGATTCCCTTTGGTTTAATTAATGCTCCTAGCACGTTCATGAGGTTGATGAACCGCGTTTTGAGGCCATTCATTAGCAAGTTCATGGTCGTATACTTCGACGACATTCTAATATACTCGAAGAAGGAGAAATTGTATGCTAACCTCAAGAAGTGCTCGTTTTGAACTTCTAGTGTTATTTTCCTTGGCTTTGTTGTGTATCCGATCGAGATACTAAGTTTCTGAGTTCCTTTTGGAAGACGTTGTGGAGCAAACTGGGGACAAAGCTGATGTTCTCTACCACATGTCATCCTCAAACCGATGGGCAAACAGAGGTGGTCAATTGATCATTATCCCAGATGCTTCGAGCTATGATCAAGAGGATCATCAAGGTTTTGGAGGACTGCCTTCCCCACGTGGATTTTGCTTACAACAGGATGGTGCACTCGACGACGAAGTTCACTTCGTTTGAGCTCGTGTATGGTTTCAATCCACTCACTCCTTTGGATTTGATGCCATTACCTTTGAATGAGCAGGTCAATCTCGATGGAGCCAAGAAAGCCGAGTTTGTGAAGAGTTTACATGAGAAGGCGAGATTGAACATTGAGAGAAGGACGGAGCAGATCATGTGCAATGTGAACAAAAACAGGAAACCGAGGCACTTTGAAGTTGGCGACTGGGTGTGGGAGCATTTGAGGAAGGAGAGGTTTCCCCAGCAGAGGAAATCAAAGTTGATGCCCCGATGTGATGGTCCTTTCCAGGTGGTTTCGAAGATTGGAAGCAACACCTACAAGATCGCTTGCCGGGAGAGTATGGAGTAAGTGCATTGTTTAATATTTCTGACCTTGCACCTTATTTGGATGGCGATTCAGATTTGAGGGCAAATCCTTTTGAAGAAGGAGGGGTTGATGAGAACATCAATGGGCCAGTCACACGTGCTAAGGCAATGACGTTGAAGGAGAAGCTTGCGACATATTTGAAGAGCTACTTTGGAGCCATGGACGTGGAGCTATTTCCAGGCTTAACGGGTTTGCTGGGTTGTTTCCGAGTTTCCATGTTTTAAATTCGGTTTATGATTATTTTTCCATGTTGGAGTCGGATTTGGGTTGTACTTTGCCTATTTAAAGGGTTGAACATGTTGGTTTGCCCTTAGACAATTATTATTGAATTTCAGAGGCTATTTCCAAGTTCCCTACGCAGAATTTGCCCTAATTACTCTATCGAGAATCTCCAGAGTGCTAGAGCGACTCTTATCAGCTAGGTATTCACCCTAGTTGTGGCGAGCTACCCATATCGATTGCCCTTTATTCCGAGTTGAATCTGAAACACCCTAACTCGGCCGGGTACTACTTTTACTAAAATGCCCTTGACAAATAAAATACTCAAATCTTAAATTGCAGCGGGAAAAATTTTCATAAATAAAATACTGAAAACACACTTGAAGTTCAAAGCAAAGCCCTAACACGTGGGCAAATTAAACTCAAACTTTAAAATCTCAATCTGATCTCAAAATAATCTCCAGTCTATACTCATAATCATAAATGTAAATAACTAATAATCTCTAATGGTGTTGCTACTGAAACCTTGAATAAGCATCCTCTGTGACGCTTATACTGCTCTCCTCTAGCTGGCTTGCCTCGAACAGCTTTCTCGATCTCGCTGGTCACTAACTGCTCCTCTAGCTGCAACTGTCGGTCTAGTTCTCGCTTTTCCTTTACTAAATCCTGGTGAGTGAGATGGGGTCAGTCTACGCCCTTACGTTTTAGTAATTCTAACACTTGAGTACTTTACTTAAACACTTATCTTTGACTAGCGGAAGTTGTTTGTACTTCCAATCTTAAAATCTTAACTCTTAAACTTTGAGGGAGTTGAAGTTACTCTCATCTCTTAAAGATCAAATCTTAACTTAAATACTTGACCGACACGGGGATCCCTCACTAGCTAGTCCGGTTGCCAACTCATACGTATGAGAAGCCATCCAAGCTTTCCTTAAACTTAAACTTAGTTAGGGAAGTCGTAACGATTCATCCCCCTAACATCTTAAACTTATCGTGGTGGCTCTTCACCCCGATTCTCAAGAGCATAACTGTTGCTCATCTTAAAAGTCTCAAGAGCATAACTGCTGCTCTGTCTCAAAGATCTCAAGAGCATAACTGGTGCTCTATCTGAAAATCTCAAATGGCAACGGACTGGCGCTAGTGACTAAAAACACGTAAAACGACTTCACCTTCTTTAAGGTGGGTTACTTCTTTAAAATAACTTGTTTCTTACTCTTTAATAATAACTTATACTCGTAAAAATTTCAAAGTAACTAAAAACATTCACTTCAAGCATAGCTCAAACAAAATCACCTCAAATAGCACAAAATCATCTCAAACCATAACTCAAGCAAAGCACAAATAATCAATCATACACATAACCAAGCAACGATAACCAATTCACTAAAATACTTAAAATCATAATATGAAACACCCTAACCCGGCCAGGTACTACTTTTACCAAAATACCCTCAATAAACCGAGAAATAAAATAAGAACTGAAAATACTTAGAAAAATAGCGGAAACATTTCTTAAATAACTTTAATAAATACCGAAAACAACTGCCATTACTTAAACACAAAGCTTGACACTTGGGCAAACTAAAACCTTAAAATCTCAAAATGATCTCCAGCCTATACTCATAATCATAAACTGAAACAACTAAAAAAATCTCTAATGCTACTGCTTCCTGAAAGCCTTGACTAGACATCCTCAGTGGCGCTTGTACTTCCCTCCTCTAGTTGGCTGCCCTCGAACTGCTCCTCTCGAACTCGCTTCTCTCTAACTCATCTTAGTCCTCTTCAAACTGGTGAGTGAGATGGGGTCAGTCTACGCCCTTACGTTTAACATCTTATTAATACTTGATCACTTTACTTAACTAAGTGGAAGTTGTTTTGTACTTCCACTGTTAAAAAGCTTAACTCTTAAAACTGTATGGGAGTAACTGTTACTCTCCACTCTTAAAGCTTAAATCTCAACTTAAATACTTGACTGACACTGAGATCCCTCACTAGCTAGTCCGGTTGCCAACTCATACGTATGAGAAGCCATCCAGACTTTCCTTAAACTTAAACTTAGTTAGGGAAGTCGTAACGATTCATCCCCCTAACATCTTAAACTTATCGTGGTGGCTCTTCACCACGATTCTCAAGAGCATAACTGCTGCTCTTCTTAAAAGTCTCAAGAGCATAACTGCTGCTCTATCTCAAAATGTCTCAAAAGGCAACGGACTGGCGCTGGTATATAAAAACACTTAAAACAACTTCACCTTCTTGAAGGTGAGTTACTTCTTAAAAAGAACTCGTTTCTTAAACTTTAACCATAATTTATACTCAGGACAATTTCAAAGTAAGTAATAACCATTCACTTCAAGTCATAATTCACCCAAAGCACATACCATCAAACATAATCATGCAATCTCAACAGGAATCAAATACTGCACATACATCACGTAAATCGAAACTTAAAAATACTCAAGGTAAATACTTGAAAAAAAATCGTACGGCGTAGAATTTACCCCCTTTACACTCACCTTATGATCAAGTCGGACGACTTGAACTAACCAACATCCAAAAATTGGTCAACTTAGGGTCATCTCCCTTTGCTTGGACCGTGCACGTAAGCTCATGTGGGAGCTAACTTTTCATTCCATCCATGAGGTGGCCCCATCTCCTTGTAAGCAATTTCACTGGCTCGTGACCTATCCATCTCCACTTTCAATGCTTTGGAAGGTTTCCCAAGTGCAACAGTTATGATTTTCCTTCTAACTTCGGCATCTAATTTTGCCCACAAACCAAATAGTGCAAAGCAATCAATTTTCCCCTCCCAACACGACAACAAATAGAATCGAGCATCTCTATGCTCTAAAATTTCCATACTTGCTCCAATCAATTCTCCTCGTTACCACGATTCCATAGGCGCTGACGATTCCCCGTTCGGACGTCAATTGATCGAGTTATGACCAAAATAAACATTCTGTCAGTTTAAAAGTACTAGGTACCAAAACTTTAATTTCCGAGTCAACACAGTTGACCACGACCTCTCTGGAAAAATTACACATTTAATCCTCTAGCTTCAATTGCCAAGACTGATACCTGAACTGTCTGATTTGCGTCCCAAACTTTCGACGCTCGTATCTCCCTCGTCCGATGTCGAAACTCAATCCCGTCACGATCGTGATGCTCCTGGGATTGTCCTCTTCGTGATGATAACCACCACTCAAAGAAAATTGGAAGTCGCCTACGCCGGGATCGTGGTCGGAACTGCTTGAGCTGAGCAATTCGATGTACTCGGTCTAAAATCCAATGAACTGCAAGCTCTCTTGTCCATTAGCAATTCATCGATCACTTCTGATCGCTCCCGTCCAAAAGCAATTATCCCCCAAGCTCTCTCCTCGATCCACCTACATACCAAATCAAACCCCTTGGGATAGCTCAACAAGAACCCAATTCGAGCTCCTTTCTTGACATTCCTTAAATCCTCTAAAGCCATTCTTCTTTCCATCACAGACAGCCAATTCATTCTTCCACGATACCAGCTCCAAACACAACATTTCATCACCACCAAAACCTTTCCCTTCCATTTCCCTTTCACTAGAGGATAATGGACTTGTCCATTTAATTCCCTCCTCCCATCTCGTCCCCTGCTGGCTTGCCGAGAGGCAGGCTGCTCTCGCATATGGAAGAGAAGCAACCACCTCTAGTATATGAGAGGGAAGCAATAAGCTCTCCTGCCACGGGGAGAAATTGACAGGCACCAAAACCCGCTCATCCTCTCCTGCCTTCCTCCCGGTTTCCGACAAAATCCGGCGAGTCTCCGACTTCATGTCCTCCCCGTCCTTAGCACTCCCCTCCACGCCATCACCACTGCCTTCCCCTCCTTCAGCTCCGACCCTGTCCTCCGGCAACGGTGCCACTCGAGGCGTGTACGAAACAGGCACAACGGTCGGTGCGTCCTTCACGTATCGGGCTTCCTCCCGCGTCCAATTCGACCGAGCTTCCGGCCTCGCAAGGAACTCCCCCGGCCGTCTCGTGAAATGCTCCTGCTGCTGCGACGGCTGAGCGCTACTCATTTCCGATGACGCGGCTTCGGGCTCCTGCTCCGGTTGCTTCGGCTTCGGCGCGTAGGAGACTGGCTGGACGAGCACTAGTGAAACTCGCGGAGGTAGCACTGGATTGGGATCCGAATCGGAGGAGAACCATCTCTGAGATCGCAAAAAAAACTGACAGGGAACTCTGGCGGTGAAATGGCGGCGGAATTGAGAGAGCAGGAGTTTCGTCACTGCCATTTTTCAGCCCTCACTTCCGATCGAGACTGGAGAGAAGATGAAGGAGAAAAAGAAAAGAAGATTAGGATTTCAAGGAGGCTTGGATTTCTGGCCGCTAGCGGGTGTTAGGGTTTAATTAGATGCTGCTCTTCGGATTTGGTAGGCTTTAATTAAACTAAGGGGTATTTTTGGGACTTGACGTTTAATTAGGTACCGGGTGAGTTTAATCCGAAACTCGATTAATGTCCGTAACTTTCTCATTTGATGTCGAAATTCGACACTGCTTGAACTGATAGTTCACATTTTTAGTCCTCCTCGAAATTACTGTGAAATTTGACAAATTTTGACCAAGGGCATAATCGTCATTTTGGCTTAGAAAAAGATGGGGTGTAACAGAATCTGTCTGATCGATTCGTATATCGATTGCCCTTATTCACGGGTGAGTACTGTCCGATTTCCATCCTATCCGGTTCTGTTTGGTTCGAGAAGCTTGACCCTGCGCTACTTTGATTATATCACTCACTCTCTTTACTAGTGGGGTCGAGACCTTTTTGGTGCAAAATATGTGCACAATCTTCAACTCTCGGCCCTATCATCTCAACACCACGACGGAAACCTCTAAATGCTAGAGTTCACGGAATGGTTGTCATCACTAGCTTGTCCGGAGGTCTTAGACTCGGGTTCAAATGACAGGAGATTGTCATGGACATGAGGAAAAGGATTTTTGGGTAGTGGCAAACACATCTTGAGGTCCTACATGTTCACCCTAAAACCGAAGGTTTTATGGTTTCGACTAAGAACCTTCCTCACTAACAACGACCACTAGCATCGGCCAAAAACCTTGCTTCTCCTTTCCAAATTATCACCCATCATGAACTTACCTTAAGCACTCTTCCTAGGTCTACTCTTGCTATCACCTTCCGATTTGGTAGTGAAGGAGTTGTAAGACAATGTGGAGGTTTCAATGGCTTGTGTGCCAAGAAACCTCACCTAGAGCAAACTCTTTGATTCCTTGTGGCACTCTCTACTTTATTTACCCCGTTTTATAACTTCTTTTTCATTTCTCTTTTTTTTCTTTCTTTCTCTTTTCTTTTTGAGGGGGGTACTAGAGAGTTAAAAATTTGCCACACTACTTTTAACGATCAATGCTCTTTTTTTAAGAACTCACTCCTGCACTACTCTTCCTTTCACTTCCGTTCCTAGCAAGAACCGCACACACTCCTCCTATGTAGAACCTCAATGGAGCTCAAAAGCGAGAGCTCCGAGATACAAGGACGACACATGTATAGACAAGAAGAAAGGATGGGGGACCATTCTTTCAACCCCATTAAGCTCACAAGCAAAAAGCTCCTAACATAAGAACGACCCCCAAAGTCACAAGGCTCAAAGGGGTTGACTAGTGGATAAATCATTTCGGGACAATCAACATTTAGGTATGGACTAATCCTATGCCTCCATCATACTCACTAGTGACAACTGTGATGTTACTCGCCATGGTGAGAGGGATTTAAGCACACAAGAAGAAAACGATCGGCTCAAAGCTCACATGGCTACCTAGTCACCCAACCATCTATTCCAATTCACAAAGCAACATGCATGGCAATTGTAATCAACAAGTAATCGAGTCAAAACATCCATTCATTTTTGCACACATGAGAACTAAACGTTTATACTATCCTAATGCACCTCTCAATCATCATAATAGGACGTACTCGATCACAAGCAACAATTCAAGGTCAATGCCAATAACCACAAGATTCTCCTACAAACTGGCCACTTTGATCATGCAAACATTGCTTGGAGCACTCAAAAATTTCAAATTTGGGCATAAATCATGGCTCCAAGCATCAATCACACTCACACAAGCATAAAAAAAAAACTACCCCCCCCCCCCCCACTTAAGCTTGACATTGCCCTCAATGGCGTAAGATAGGGGTAGAACGACGTTACCGCTTTGCTTGGTGAGTGAAAGTTGGAATTGTTTCTGGGGTAGGAGATTTGGAGCTTCAAGGAAAAGACAATATACACACACACAAACACAATACGACTCGCTCAATGCGAGGTTATTACACAACACAATACGATAGTAGTAGTAGTAGTAGTAGTAGTAGTAGTAGTAGTAGTAGTAGTAGTAGTAGTAGTAGTAGTAGTAGTTTATAGTCACACTTACATAAACGAAAGAAAAATAAAACAAAAGAGTTCAGAGTTCCAAGTGGAGTAGTGGGCGAAAGGAATCGGCTCTGCCACATATCTCCCTTGTCGGCTACCTCACTGGGTCAAAGGCCCTGGCTCATCATCGGGAAATGAGACCCTGGCGTCTTGCCATCTGCTCGAGGAGGTCTGTCTGCCTGTCGAGGCGGGAAGTCACTCGCCCAAACTGGGTCTCAAGGCAATCTATCCTTTGGACGAGGGGATCACCCACTGGTCTGGGTGCTGAAGCTGCTGCAGGTGGTGGTCTGGGGCGCTGGAGAACAGGACTCCGGCGGCGGTCGGGTGCTCGAGCAGGTGGCTACTCTGGGGGTCAAACCCCTGCATCTGGCTCCACTGGAGCCGGGTCAACCGCTGGATGCCTGGCTCCCAAAGGTCGGAGCCCGTAAAGGTACTCAATTACCATCTCCTGAAGTACCAACTACTGGTTATAAAGTATAGCCATTGGGAAGGGCTCGGTCCTCTCGATGATGGAGCATCACTCCACATCCACTCAGAAGTGGCGGGCAGTCTTCGTGATGATGCCCCCTATATGCATGGTGTCCACCCTGTTCCGCCCCAGACACCAGGCGAAAGAGGTGGCTATCAGCGATCCCAGATGGACCGGCTCCACAGGATGCCTCATGGAGAAGAGAGCCATAAGCCTTCTGTTCGTCATCAGATGTCACGACTGCAATCTGGGGACGACCGACCGGAAAAGTGTGGAGGATCCTCCAGGGGGTCCACAACTCAACCGCATTGGTGCGGCTCGCCTCGTACTCCTCGGTCTTGTGCTCGGGGCGGCAGAGGGCCTGGAATGCAGCCTAATAATGAAAATCGGCGGTGTATTGCCGCTTCGTCATCGTCATATGCGTCGGGTCGAGCCCCATGGCATGGGCGAAGGCGTCATATTTCAGCACTCGGGTCTGACCTCAAAACTTAAACTCCACGTATGGATGGCTCCTCTTGCCGCTCGGGACCACATGGGCGAACATGGAAGAGAACTCCACGCACAGGTCGTGGTAGATCTGCTCGTCCAAGGTGAGCAGTCGGCTCCACTGGGGGTGACAGACGACCAGCGACATTGCGGTTTGGCACCTGAACATGTTGAACATGTCCAAGTGCATCTGCCAGTGTGACCTGACCGGGCTATCCCTCTGGTAGGCCAACTTGTCACCAAACCGCAGATGGTTCACCAAGTAACTGATGAACTCATGCTCCTCGTTTAGCATACTGCAAAAATCAACAACAAGCACCATACGTGGAAACATTCATTAAGCACAACTCATTGGGAGGAAAAAGAAATTCCCCCCACACTTATCTCCACTATGGATTTTAAACATTTAAGCTCAACCCACCGTGGCATGGTTATGAGTACTCCAAGGATCATCATACAAAAGATCAACCCATGTCACGGTGGCTACCAACCACCATTCAAACACACAATGCATATTCATTTAACAATTATTACTTGGTGGGCAAAATCTACAAATAAAAACAATTCGAATCACTAAATGCCCACCAAGTCTCAACTAGGCTCATGCAAGAACATTTCAACATTCAATCAACCTAATTCACCTAATTCCTCTCCCTAATTCTAGGTTCAACATTCAAGGCATTAAAAATTATCCCCACTTCACTCCCTAATCTGATTCTCCCAAAATAAACAAGGTAGAGCTGAAAAACCAACCTAGAGACTCAAGTAGGACGTAGGAGGAAGTTAGGTGCGGGCGAGGAAGGCAAAAAAAGGCTGAAAAACATACCGGGGAGAGATTGATGGAGCTTCGTCAGAAGCTCGTCGTATATTCGCTGCCGGCGACTTTGCCGAAAAAAACTTGACCCAAATCTCCCCAAAATTGCAGCACAGGCCGGTTTTGATGAGGGGAGAATGGGTATGCAGTTGGTTTTGGGTTTTTCTCACCAGAAATGGGTGAAAAAAAGAAAATCGTCGGATTTTCCGTCAAGAATTTGAATTTTCCGGCGAGTTTTGGGTCGTGAAATGAAGAGTCGCCGTTCACGCCCCTTTTATGGGCAAAGCACAGCGTTCACAGACGCATTGGCTTGTTCATGCTCTTAAAGACCGTGAACACTCAAGTCCGTCCGTCAACTGGGGTTGGTCGACTGGTGGTGCACATTCAGAAGTGCCTGGTTCACGGACGCGTTTGCTTGTTCATGGTCTTGTAAGACCGTGAACACTCAAATTCGTCCGTGAACTCGAGTGAAAACATGGGACTTCTGAGAAAATTTTGACTCAACCTATTCCAACGTGCCTCCTAATGATCACAACACAACCTTAAAACGCAAAACCACAAAACTTGGCACTGGGATACCACTCGACCACTTGAACTCTTCACTTAACACAAAAACACGAAAATAAGAAAAAGAAAACAAACCTCCGTTGGGTTGCCTCCCAACAAGCGCTAAGTTAACGTCACTAGCTTGACATTGCAGATCTATCATTCTTTGGGACATGATACCATCGAGAGTGGATCCGCCACGTTCTCGGGGCAAGGCATGTAGCCTCCCAACTTAAGCTCCATAAGGTGGCCTTCTTGGCCGACAAACTTAGCTTTGCCCTTCTCCTTCTTTCAGGCCAAAGCTTGCTTCATCTTCTCCCTCCAAGCTTTCTTCTTCCTCTCTCTAGGCATAGTACCCTCCTTAACTTCCTACTTAACATCATCACAGGCAACACAAGTAATATTGGGGTTCGCCTTGAGAGGCTCTCCTCCACTCACATTCAAATCATCTTACACCAATTCCTTCACATCCTCATTCCCAGCCTTAGGTTAAATTTCAAGAGTTATAATGCATTGGCGGTGGCAAGGAAGGGACGTCCTAGTGTGAGTGGCATATCCGAATCCTCACTTATATCAAGTATCACAAAATCCGTCGGATAGCAAAACTTGCCCACTCGTACTAGCATGTCCTCCACAATGCGCCTAGGATCAATGACTGAGCGGTCGGCTAGTGTGACACTAAGCTTAGTGGTCTTGAGTTCACATAGGTCTAGCATTTTGAATAGCTTATAGGGCATCACCTTCACACTTGCTCCTAAATCTGCCAAGTCATTTTCTATGTGATGGTTACCAATACTAAGAGGGATAGTGAAGCTACCTAGATCAGGTCCCTTCTAGGGAAACCGGTTGAGGATTAAGGCCTAGCACTCCTCGCCTAGAGTCACATTGGCGAGGTCTTCGAACTTCGGTTTCTTGGTGAGGAATCCTTTGAGGTACTTTGCGTACCTTGGCATGTGAGCCATAGCTTCGAGGAAGGGGATGTTGAGGTGGAGATTTCGGAACATCTCCATGAAGCCCCCACATTCCGCTTCCAACCTCTCCTTGTACACCTTTGTGGGGAAAGGAAGAGGTGGCTTGTACTTAGCCACTGGAGATGGCGTTGGCAATGTCTTCCTTGCCACTTCTTTCTCTCCCTTCGAAGGCTCCTCATCTCCATCCTTGGGGTTGGAGACTTCCTTCTCAACCACTTCCTTAGCAACAACTCCCGGAGTCACCTTCCCGCTCCTAAAGTAAATCGCATTGCACCCGGCTTGATATCTGGGGTTGGCAACGGTTTGAGAGGGTAGGGCTCCCTTTGGTCTCTCGGTGAGGATCCCGACAAGATTGCTGATTTGCACCTCCAAATTTTGAAGGCCTGCTTGATGGCTTTGGAGTCCCGCCTCAACCGAGGTAAACTTGGTAGTTGCCACATCCATAAATTGCTCAATCTTCTTGAATTCTGAGCACTCGTGCTCACAAAGGTATTCACAAGGTCTTAAAGTTTGGATAGCTTGTCGGGTTATTGTTGTTGTCGAAACCCTTGTACACCTTGTACTTGGTAGGGTTGTTGGAAGTTCGATCCTTGGAATTGCGGCCTTTGTTGAATGAAAGTTGGTCGTGATTGGTAATTTCCTGTAGGGCCTTGGAAACCAGGGTTCACGGATTAGTTAGGGACGACCAAGCAAAGTTAGGATGATTTCTCCACCCGGAGTTATAGGTATTGCTATACGGGTTGTTCCCCCTAGCATTGGCAACAAAATTAACTTGTTCCTCTAGAGTGCTTGCTTCGTTCATTGCTTGACAATCAGCCAACTCATGGTTCGTGCTTAAACACTAATCGCACGACATCACCGCTCTCTTCCAGTGCTTCTTATCCTCAAGAATTACCTCGATCAACTTATCGAGTTTTGCCTCAAGCGGAGCACTCGCTCCCACACTCCTTACTCCTCTTTCATTGCTTCTCTTCCCGCTTCTCGTCAAACCCCAATCATAACCTTCGAGAGCCATATCTTCTAGTAATTGGGTCATTTGTGGCAGGGTCATATTCATTAGCCTCCTTTGACAAAGAGAATCAATGAGGATCTTGTCTTCATGTATGAGCCCCGTGTAGAAAGTTTCAATCCGGAATTGTTCTTCAAACCCATGGTGAGGGCATTGAAGAAAATAATCAGAGAATCTCTCTCAAGCATCCCTCAAGGTTTCATCTTCATCTTGCTCAAAATGGGTGGTCTTCTTTCTCCACTCGGCCGTCTTAGAAGGAGGGCAATAGCGGGTCATAAATTTGTTGAGAAGATCATCCCACGAGGTAATTGAATGAGGTGGCCGGTTGTTGAGCCATCTAAGCGCCTTCCCTGCAAGTGAGTAAGGGAAAAGCCTTAGTTGCAAAGCTTCCGCTGGCACGCCATTAATCTTCAAAGTCCCCGCGAGCTCAAGAAATCGTTGTGTGTGCTCCCTCGGTGATTCACTTGTGACCCCGTGGAACAAAGCATTGTTCTAAATCATTGTCATGAGGTCCGGCTCGATTTCGAAATTGTTGGCCGCCACGGGAGGGTGTAGGATAGGCGACTGAATGTTCGTCGTCCGTGAGGCCATTTAATACCCCATTGTCCTCGGGGCTTCCTCCTCGGCCGCCTCCTCATTGTGGTTGTGAGCTTGGGGGACTGCTCCTTCTCTTTGGTTCTTTGCCATCTCAACTCCAATATCAACTTCTCCTTCAACTCCTTCAACTTCTCCTCCACTAACTCCGGGACACAATTGTTGTCCCCTCTCTTCACTTCTCCTCCTTGCTTCCGCTAACTCCCTCTCCCGAGCTAGGAATCGGAGAGTCTTGTTGATGTTCTCATCAAGCGGTAGTACTAAGGGCGCCGGATTATTCCGGGTCATGCACCTCCATGCACACACTTAGAGAACAAAACCACGTCTAACACAAGCAAAGCACTCAAGCAAACAAAGCTGAAAATTAAAAGCTAGATTTACACCGAATATTTTTTTCAAGTTAACGAACCGAAGTTCCCCGGCAACAGCGCCAAAAAGTTGACTCGTCCCGAATATCACAATAAATTCCCACCTGAGGCCCAAGTATAAACCTTATATGGGTGCAATAAAGGGCAAGTATGTTTAAATATCAAACCGGGCCGACCCGTGTACCCCTACTTCCATTGTTTGAAGCATTATCTAGCGAATTGGTTTTTGGTTGAAAACTATGAGATTTAAATCAAAACAAAGCAAAGGTAAATGGTTTGAAATCTCTAGATGAGAAGGATCACTCGGGTGACGCTTCCCCCTAACTACTACCATGGCACGTGAACTCGAATGGGACCTTATGGGCAAGGCAATCATGAACCGCTAGGAGATGCAACTATGATCGAGGATCACACTCCCAATTGCCAAACCAAGGGATACATTATAGGCTACAAGAGTAGCCCTCTTGGTTAAGGCAATTTAGTGTTGACTTACCTTCTCCTTCAAGCCAATTGTTGGACGGCTTAATCATGATTAACCTACTTGCTTAATTCAAGATAGAGTTTTGCCCTACATTAACCTAGGTAGGTGGTTTGTCAAGCCCAAGGAATCCCAACTCAATTGAGCCTCTTTTTGAAAGTGGGTTCCCCCTCTAACCTATGTTAGAATGGCCAATTAGATTGCTAAGCACACACATGTACAATCATCATAAAAAATACCTCAATCATTAAATTAAACAACACCCATAAACAATCATTCAAGTCCAAGGTTTTCGACCCGCGGGTCGACCCACTTTGACCCTGACCCGGTGAGAAAAACGGGTCGCACGCACCCGCCGGGTCGGCCGCCACAAGGTACCGGGTTGGAGGTCAAATTGTGTCATTTTTTTCTTTGTTTTGCAAAATGCGCCTATTTTCCGATTTTGTTTTTCGCCTAACTCAATCTTTGGAATCCTAAGTTGAACATTTGAATATTAATGTTATATAAGTGTGTGTGAATTTTCACTATATGTTGAATCTAAGTATGAAATGTTATTTTGGTGTTATATTATATGTTATAACTCATATGTTAGATGAGATTTGATATAACTTATCAGGATAAGTACAATATAATGACGCTTTCCATATTTCCAAGCTAAACCGGGCTAAACCGGGCGACCCATTAACCCTTGACCCACTAGCTCAACCGGGTCCGGGTCAACCCGCGGGTTGACAACCTTGTTCAAGTCACACTACAACCACATGGAAAATAGTTAGAGTTTCACAACACCCAAGTGAAAAAGAGTACTACTCCACGCTAGAAAGGGGAAGAACACAAGAGAAAGAGGTAGTAGAAACCATCATGGTAATGCCTCCAATCTCCTCTAAGCTTGTGTTTATCTTCTCTTGGGGAGATTCTTCTCAATTCACCACATGGAGCAAACCATAGCCTTCCTTCTTCCTTGGTTCGTCCTTCCTCTCTCTAAAATCTGAAGAAGAAGAAGACACTTTCTCGGACTTGGGCTCCCCCCTCTCTCTTCCTTTCAGCTCACATTTTATACCAGGATCGGGCTCATTTCACGGCCTCAGTTCACGCCCGTGAACTCTTCAACGTGTCCGTGAACATAGAGCGCTGTGTCGAAACACACCGCTTCACCATCAGGAGTTCACGGTTTGGCCTCTATGTTCACGGTCTTGTTGAGCGTGAACTCGCCTTGCACTAGTAACTGCAGATTTCTCCCTAGACGCCTCACGGTTCACGGTTTTGGGTTTCAGTTCACGGTCATAGGAGAACGTAAACTCCAATGATAACCCATGAACATCGCCTGAATCACCCTCTTTGCCTCTTTTCGTCTAACTTTCAACTCTGGGGCTCGTTTCACCTGCTAGATCCTGAAATACACTAAAACGCACAAAACCTAGCGTAAAACCACCATTTTAGGAGTTCAAATACTACAAACGCCCAAGTGAAACGGGGATAAAAATGTGTGCAATTAGACCTGAATCAATTGGTTAGACGTGTATGAAATCAAACCAAATAACCTAAACCAAATCAGGTACATTACCCAAATTATTTAATGCTAAGCGAGCACTTCTACTATGCTATATAGTATCGGTGCTTTAATGTACAACTTGAAGTTGTACCATAACATTAAATGTATAAGTTTAGATTGTACCATAAAGGAATTTGTACCATTATGTTATGATACAACTTTACAACTTGAAGTTGTACCATCACATAAAAGTATAAGTTCAAGTTGTACCATAAAAGAATTTGTACAAAAAGTATAGGTACAATCTAAAGTTGTATCATAACATTAAAAATACAACTTCAAGTTGTACCATATAGGCAAAAACCTATAACACCAATGCTATATACCATCCTCCATTAATATACTAGCTTGTAACCCGACCCGTTGGTCGGAGGAGCTGAGCCGAATATTGGATTATTGGGATAACCCGTAGATTCAACCATTAAGCTAAATTGGTCTAATGGTGAGTATCGCCTAGCATATCCCTAATAATCATACCAAAGTGAATATATTGGAACATAAACAGTACATCAAAAGTTGGTACAACCATGAAGTTAGACCATTAAAAACATACCAATGAAATTGAATAGCATCGAAAAACTTCAACTTCATTATATAATTACATGAGATCAGAAAGAGAACACCATTAATTTGATTTATAAAACTTTCATCTTGTCGTCATTGTGCTTTCTGGTTTTTGTCAGGCCATGATAAATCTAAGGAAATCAAGAACGAACAACACGATTTGGGATAGGAACCGCCGTTGTCGTATTCCTAGAGAATGGTGGTAAACACGGACTCACCTGCCAAACTGGTTTGGATTGAGATTTTTATCGGGTATCAGGAAACCATGTGATTATAAATTAGACTTGATCAAAACGGGCCAAAACTCAAAATTCAGTATGTTTGACCGAACCATGCAAAATTCTAATTATTCGTTACTTTTAAACTTTCTATTTGAAAATAAAAAATAGTGAAAGAAAATAGATGACTGCAATTCGCCATTTGCACATCACTTATTCGGGAATAAAACTATAGAAATTCAAAAGAAACTGAAAATGTTTAGGATCATTTTAATGTTTAAAATAACCAAATAGATCTTTCTGTTTAGTTTTTTACTAACAAATACCAAGCGATTCCCTATAAAATACACTATAATTTTATCATTATGATATCAAATAATTATATAATATATATTTGAAATGATAAAAATTGGACTAATTGGGTTGGTCGAGGTTGAACCATTGAATAACTTTAACTACATTATATTTTAGCCACTAAGATATAAAATAATATAATAATATATATTATGCTAGAGAAAATAGCTTGTTTTAGAATGTCAAACCAATGATGTTCATTTGTTTTACTTGATGGCCAAATCTGGTGTAGGTCAGGCCATTCTACTCTTTTATTTTATGGTTAGCGGTTAGCCCATTAGATACCATGTATTAGTTTATTGTTAAATTTTTTTATTTTTAGTATAAAAAGAAGTATTGTTTTAGCTTTTTCATATATATTTTATCACCACGGAGAAATACAAGAGCTTAAAGAAAAAAATTGACACTCCTGAACCCGTTTAAAACCGCATGTGTACGGTAAGTTGGCCCGTTTCACAGAGGAAAGAGAAAAAAAATTAACACTACCTATTC